TCCTGTCCCATAGCCAAAACAGAAAATTAGAGGAAATCCCACAAAAGCGAAGGATTCCCTGGCTGCCAGCAGGTTCACCAGAACTAGTGTCTCCACTGGAAGATTTTCCCTCTAATCCTGTTCTAGTCCAGCCCAAAATTTGAGATTTCCTTGTACTTTCACTTTCAGTGATGATAAAATAGAAAGAGGGAATACTCCCAATGGAAGCACAGATAGCAATACAAAATTAGACAGGTGTCCTAATCCTTCTAAAACGAAAAAACAAAATGTTTGCCTTTAGTTTTAATTTAAAGTATATCATATACCAAAATTTTTTTACTGTAGTTTTGGATAATTAGAAGGGTTAAACTTCTATTAGATTGTTTTTGCTGACTGTAACCAATTGGAGAGATTTTCCTTAATTTACTGGCCCATAGACACAGTAGGAAGTGAAAGGGAATTCTTTTCTTATACAGTTGTCACTGTGGTAGCATAGGAACACTTTCCCTCTACACGACAGGGTTGCTAAACTCCCTCATACTATCCAAGACCAAAAATAAAAAAGTTTAACCTCCCTGGAGGTATTCCCGAGTGTAGCTCGGGGTAAAGTTTCAGTACCACAAGCGGTAACCCCCGAGCTACACTCCGGAATACCTTGCAGCGTTGCTCCGGGATCTCTTCTTCACTTACCTTGTCCTGCGCTCCTACGATGTCCCTCCTACAGTGTCCCCGGCAATGTCCTCCGGCCAATGCCGGCATCTGTCTTCTGGGTTCCGTTCCCTGCGACGTCAAGACGTATGAGGTACGGAACTGGAGGGAAATTTAAAAATGTGAAAAAGTGACATTCACTAAATACACTAAAATCACATAGTAAAACATTACTGTATCAAAGCATTTCACATACATTTTGTCCCGAGTGCTTTGTCCTGTGCCCTGCCTGCATTTTTACTGTTCTTTCTGCCTGGAAACTGAGAAACGTCCATGGCGTACAAAAAGCGTCCCTTTAGGTCAAAAGCGGTTTTAGACCAGCTAGAGAACAGAGATAGTTTTAGACCACTTGGAGAATTGAGTGATAATGATTTGTGGGGAACAAGATAGACACTGAAAAATATTTACTTTAGCTCAGTGATGTGCGAATTTATATTTCAAATTTTAGTGTTTTTGGTTTGATTATATTATTGAATTAAATTTATTATTATATTATTATTTTTTATGATTATTTATTAAATTATAATTTATGATTTCATGTTTCAAATTTTAACATACCCGGGATGTTTACTAGACTCTTGTTCGGACAGATTTCAGTGAGTTATTCCTAAAAATTACAGACCTACAATAAAAAAATACATATTTCCATGCAAAAAAATGTACCGCTTTGAGCACAGAAATATGGACATAATCAGACCACTAAGGAGGCTACAGGCAAATTTGTCTTTATTACATTTTCAACAAATTAACAAAACAAGGCATGAGAAATAATGAAAACAAGTTCAAATAGATGAACATAAAAAAAAAAATCACAGATGTAGCAATGATCCATGTGGATGGGCGAAAATGATTCCAAACAACAGAAGGAAGGAAGGAGCAATAACACAGTAACACATATTACGAAGATATGAAAAAACAGTTTCAAGGGGGGCATCCCCAGCAAGATGTATGAAACAAAATGAGATAGCTCTGTATGTATATAAAGCCTGTATAATAATAATAGTATGACCAACAGTATAAACCCAAACTGAGAAAAAAGAGAAGAAAGTATAAAAAGAAGAGAAAAAAGAGAAGTCAGTTGTAGAGATGGTGAAAGATGAGAAGAGAGAGGGTCGGGAGACGGGATCAGCAAAAAGCAGAACCAAGGTGTTCCTCCACCAGTATCCCACTGGGGTGACCCCTCTTCCCGCACCTGGGTGCAAGGCTCAACTCCATTAGGGCACGACAGGGAAACACATATCATGGAGAGTCAAAGAAGAGGAGCAATGGAGTTGAACAGACCACAGTAACTTATGTTCCTCATAGGTATCATTGGCAAATGCCAGCATGTCCTCCATACGCATGATAAGCACATTAAGCACAAAAACCCAAATCAGAAGAGTCGGGGGAGTGTCCGTTTTCCAAAAGAGGAGTATCAATTGGTGGGCTGCAGATAGAAAGAAGCGCAACAGACTTTTCTTTTGTGTTGCCGGTGAGCCCTGTAATATAGAGAGTAGAGCAATCTCCGGCAAAGGGGCGAAGGACTCACCATAGACCCTGTTATACACAGCAAAAACCTGTCGCCAGAAGGGTTGTATTTGGTCACAATCCCACCAAATATGGAGCTGTGTACCAACAGCCAAAAATTACTTAAAACCCCAAATAATTAAATATTTTCTGAGAGCAGAGACCCTGTACAATAAAATGGTGGGTGTTGCAAATTTTTATGTCTTACAATATTTGTGCAACTCTTTGTCAAATGCAAACAGTTTTGATTGCACAAAAAACAGTATAAAACACAATATTTGGTAAAATATAAAATAGGGATTGCTTCGGGTTACATAGTTACATCATTAGTCTGGCTGAAAAAAGACAAAAGTCTATCCAGTTCAACCATTTAAAAAAAGAAAAAAAGTTATAATCCTATACCCACAGTTGATCCAGAGGAAGACAAAAAAAACCAGTAAAGCATGATCCAATTTGCTCCTTCAGGGGAAAAAATTCCTTCCTGCTCCCCCGAGAGGCAATCGAATATTCCCTGGATCAACTTTACCTATAAATGTTAATGGGTAAATAGGTCTATTAGATCTCTAATGTCACCTCTACCTCCATTGCATCTATTAAAGCACAGAATGTGCTTGGGTGAATTCCTGGAAGAATGGACAAATCCCATGCTGGGCTATTGTATTACCTGCACAGCAATTGCAAATGATTGGATACAGTTGGCATGGTAAGACCAGTTAGGAGGAGGAATATGGTTCACATCAATCTCAAAGGATGCATCTAGAAGACAGTAAGTTGACTGAACACCTGAAGACCCGGAAGTTCTGAACGTCAAGGAGTGGATCAATGCGTTTTGAATTCAGCTTGCTTCTTCAGGATCCACTCACTTGGATTAGTTAATGATTTGGCTGACAGACAATGATACAGAGTTAATAAAAATCTTTGTACACATATGTATATATACACATAGAAACAAGAAACAGCCAATATATAAGTAGCCATTTTACAGTCAGAGAGCAGAAAAGAGGAAAAAAGTTGAAAGCAAAACGCGTTGATCCACCTCATTACCTTGGTATAAAGAACAAGCAATATTTGTGGTTTATTAGACCTGCAACTGTAATACTCATGATTTTAATGGAATTTTAAGGTCATAAAGCTGTATATGCATATGCAGTATGTCTATGAAATGGCACATTTAAAGTTCCTTCACTCAATCCTCCACCAATATACACAGGGGTTGTAGCAAAATTATTCCAATATTATGGACATTGATATAGAGCCGGGTTCCTGGTTGGTCCCTTTTGCAGGTATAGCTATGTAAAATATAAGTGTCTGTACTGTTTCAAATCCAGTAAAACACTGTCTCACCTTGCTCTGCTCATGCTCATTTGCTCTCTATATTTTGGCACTGTAGCAAAAATGTAGAGGCTGATCAGCTGAGAGCCTAAAGATTTACAGCTGCTCAGGGGCTCTGAGCTTCAGAAAAATGGTAGCCTCCAGCAAGAAGAAACAGGGACAATGCTGGAGGCAATTCACAGCACACACTAATTTTGGTAGCCTAATGCGGAATGTATGTTCCTTTGCTAAAACCATTCTTTTTTTATCAAGTTGTTATGGGTAACATTCCACTTTAATAGATTAAGATCATAGAGACTGTTCTCTCAAGTGACTTATTCATTGAGCTTAGAGAACAAGGTGATGCTGTGCTCACTTCAATCATCCAATCATGTGACAATAAAATCCCTCTTTTCCTTTAAGCTATATAAACTCTCACTTTGCAATTTTCACTTGTTTAGTAAATCCTATTCCTATTGCCTAGTTCATTTTGATAGCAAATTTAAAAGTGACACCTGGAGGACAAAGAGCGTATTGGGTCCCATAAATAAATCAGGTTAAATGAGAAGCATATCAAATACTATTTTTGCATTACCTAAATGGTGAAAATCTGTTTTATTTTAATACCTTTTTTTTTTTTTTCAAATATCGCCTCAAAATCATTAAAGTAAATGTTCAACCTCACTGTCACAGTAACGAGTGGACAGGACAATGACCAAAAATCTACAGCAGGGGTAAAGACAGCAATAAAAAGCTGACAAGGTTAGCTTTCCCCTCCTCTGCTGTACAGCTTGGTCTTTTAAAGTTGAAATTACCAGACTTATGCAGGCCATAGATGGGTCGAAAACCGGCCATTTAAAAAAAAAAAAAAACGAAAACTCGGTCGTTCAATAGGTCGGCGTTACCACCAACGGTAAAAAAAAATCAGCTGATTTTCGTCCCGTCTAGGGCCGGCATTTAATTACTTCTGTCCCTGCAGAGAGCTCAGCTATTATATTTGACATTAAAAAGTATAGCTGTTGCAACATTGTATCTATTTGTATCCATTTCGAATACAGATGTTTTTATTTGGATACAAATAGATACATTGTTGCAACAGCTATACTTTTTCATGTCAAATATAATAGCGGACTGGAATTCTTCTTCTTCTTTTTTCTTCTTCTTCTTCTTTTACTTGCAGGTCATGGCTCATGCGCAGATTTTTTATCGGTAAAAAGATCGGCCGATTTGCCCATCATTGCCGTGAAAAAATCGGCCGATCAGCAAAATCGACCGATTTTCTTCCAACTTTACCTTTAAAAAAAATGTGCCAAAATCCAGAAAAACGGGATGACCAATTAACCCAGTAACGGTGCGAAAATTGGCCGATTTTTTTTTTGGCCGAAAAATCAGCTGATTTTCGACCCATCTATGGCCTGCATTACTCGCAGGATCACCAGGTGAAAATAAAAGGGAAAAAAAGCTAAAAAATTTAAACTAGTACAGCCACCACATCTAAGAAGAGAACTGCAATATATTACTTTTTTGGGGAGTTTATTACTGCCTTAAGCATCACTGCACTCATCAAGACTCATATCTGACAGCAGATGTGTGAGTGTATGTTCTCTAACAGGCCAACAGTAGATATTTATTGTACAAGGGTCTATGTGTGAATGGCAAAATGACTTATCCATAGTTTGTTCTTATGATTATCCCTACAGAATTTACTGAAGTTAAGCCCAACGAGTTCCTATTCACCTTCAACATGACCCAAATAAGAGAGATTGTGGTATCTAATGAAATGTTGCACCAGGCTGAACTGCGAATATTTCGGAAAAAGTCGACAAAAGCATCAACGAGTAGAGAGGTCAGAGTGGAGCTGTACAGGGTGAGTCTATGGGGACACCATTGGGGTCATCAGCACTATTACTGTATAAATTCACTTTAGTGACCAATGTGACATGTTGCTCTTAGTCAATGATTCAAGTTTCTTTTAAAACTGTCCAAGGCAACAATGGTTGAAGTATACTTCACCTTGTGGTGCCTGCAAAGCTTTTAGCTTCTGAAACATGGATCGGTTATTTTTGTTGGGAAATTTGGAACAACAATTTTCATTCCTTATACACTAAATGGACAAAAATTTGCTCCAAAATGTTAGGATTGGATTCACAAAGACAGATTCATCAATACATGGTTTGATGGGTTTGTATGGAGTAGAAATGAGCTTGAGCATCCTTCAAACTCATCTTTACCTGTACCTGGGTTTCCAGATATTTTCCAACGAGCTGTAGGTGGAGTCATTACCCGCCTGGCAGCAGACATAAACAAATGGGGCAGGATGTTGGTGATGGTAGTGTCCTTATAAGGACACACGCCCAGATTTAGTCATTGACTAAGGGCAGAATTATTGACATTACCTTTATTTGTCAATGACTAAATATGGGCGTGTGTCTGTATAAAGGATGTTACCAGCATGCCCATATTTAGTCAATGTAATTGACTAATTATGGGCATGTGTCCATATAAGGGCAATGCCATTGATGTTGGCTTTAAATGTCATTGACTAAATATGGGCATATGTCCTTTTAAGGGCACTGATGTGAACAGCATGGCCATAGTTAGTCAATGTCACTGACTAACTTTCATAAAAAGGGCATGATTATTGACATTAGCCTTATATGTCAATGACTAAATATCGGCAATTGTCCGTAAAAGGGCACTGACTGGCATACCCATATTTAGTCAATGTAATTGACTAATTATGGGCATGTGTCCATATAAGGGCAATGCCATTGATGTTGACCTTGTATGTCATTAACTAAATATGGAAAGGTGTCCTGACATCACCAACATCATGCATTTGTGAACATGTGCTGAGGCAGGAAATGACCCGGCCTGCAGTTCATTGGTTTAGAAGATAGCTGGAAGCCCAGGTTCAGGTAGAGATGAGTTCAAAGAATGCCTAAATTCATCTTTCATGTGGAGGAACTTGAATGACCTTCACAAAGCCCATACCTCAACCCTAGTGAACACCTTTGAAGTAAATTGAAACACAGTGTGAGCCAGGTCTTCCCATCCAACAAAATCTTTTTACAAAAGTAGATTGTTACAGCTACCAAGGAAGGACAGGAAGCTACTCCATAATAATGCCTACGGTTTTGGAATGGAATATTCAACAAGCTCATATAGGAGTGACAGGTGTCCACCAACTATTGCCCATATAGTGCATAAATTAAATAAATATCTGAATAAACCTGTGAAGGTTCTCATTTATCCAGGTCATGGTATAGCTAGTAGTAGTTGGTCACATTCAACTGGACTTGTTCTGTAATATTGAAGACATGAAGACATTTCATAGTTTGTCCAAGCCACTTCTTCACTTCCAATGAGTACGAGAAAGATACTCCAACATTTACATATATCCACAGCTTGGGACAGCTTATGATACATCACTACAAGACCTTATTTACATGTCATTATTGAATGTTGTGGAGATAGTGCTGATCAGGGGTGGACTGACCATTTGGTAACTCAGGCACTGCCCGAGGGCCCGGGGTCAGTAGGGGGCCCCATGAGATGCCCCTGGTAACTTTTTCATAGGCTTTTTTGAGTTTGGGCAAGGACACAGGGGCCCCATGATCCCCTATTGCCCGGGGGCCCCATGAGTTGTCAGTCCACCAATGGTGCTGATTAAATAGATTCCTTCAGGATAAGATGTCATACCAAGATTATGTGGTCAGCAGAACCTTTTTAAATATGCAGTTGGAACTTTTATTAACAATGCAAGTCTTATTGAGTTAATTCCTGACATTTCACAACATACAGCTAAAAATATTTTAAAAGCTTTACCTTTTATCAGTAAAAATCAATTGTTGATACCGAGTCCAATGACTTTGTCTAGGCCAAGATAATGTCCTCAGTCTGCTGTAGGCAGATGGAACATTTCCACAGTCTTCTCAAACTCATTATTTGACCATAATTATGTGACTTTTCAGCAAGTCAGATGTGAGGCTTTAGCAGGGGCTGATCTGTGTCAGACATCAGCTGGTGACCCCGAATAATGCCTAAACAAAAATGGATCTGTCCTTCTGGAGAGAAAAGCAGATGAAAACAAACTTGCACAGCTCCAAGGTCCCTGCTCCTCCACTCTGATAGTAACTGCTTTGCCACTTAACAAAGGTGCCAGCCCAGCTTGTCAGCCACTCATTAGAAAGCAAAGATAAACTCCAGATGGCCGTACTCTTTATTATCAAGCGCAGATTAAAAACATCATTGCCGTGGGGGATGGAGAGTGTTAACGCGTTTCGCGCCATCTAAACACATAATTGTAACTAATGGTGATTAAGTGATTTGAAGGCGCAAAATGTATTAACACTCTCCGTCCCCGATGGCAATGTGATGAAGCCGGCTAAAGAATGCAGCCACCCAGAGTTTGTTTTGTTTTCTAAAAAGCAGATGAAAGTTTTGTCAGGAGTACTGTGATATATCTCTTAAGAAATAATGAATACCTGAAAGTGCTATACTTTGAGCCAGTTCATACCACCTACATGGCTAAAATGCCACATTTTACACATTACATACTTTTTTTTTTTAACTTTATTTAAATGCATGGCATTTCATTCATTTCTATGCACTGCAACTGAGCTGCTGTGTTTAGACATGCAGACAGAAACTGAATTGCAGGTGGGTTGTGATGGAGGGACAGAAAACCATAGACATGGTGCAGATTTCCACACTGCAGCCCACCCCAAGGGCAGCGTTTAAGTGTAAACAATTGTTTTCTTATGGAGATCTGAATTTTTCTAGTACAGATAACTGCAAATCTCTGCACAAGTGTGAACATGTCTTTACACTTTGTTTAACATCCATGCACATAACATAAAAAAATAAATATTCTGAGGCTACATTCAATTTAAACATTGCATTAGGTTTTCGTATACATTTTAAAAAAATGTTTTTTTTTTCACTGCAACCAATTAAAATTCAGGGTCTCTATTCTCCCTCAGGTTGTCAGCAATGGCTCTCCTCGATTTCTTGATAGCATGTATGTATGGATAACAGATGATGATGAATGGATTTCATTTGATGTGACAGAGTCTATAAAGAGATGGCTTGCTGACCCAGGTAAAATGCGTTATTTCTTTCATTGGTCCAGGTGGGGGGGTTCAAAAATGACCAGTCTGTGGTAGTATAGTTTATTATGAGAAGGTTTTTTCATGGTATTAATTTTTTTTATATAGATCGCATAGAAAATAAAATAGTTTTTGCATGATAATATTATTAAAATAAAGCGTGGTTTGTACAAAAAAAAAAAAAGCATACTGTTATCCTAACCACTTGAGCTCTGGAAGATTTTACCCCCTTCATGGCCAGACCATTTTCTTTTCTATCTAGCACTTTAACTGGAAAATTGCTTGGTCATGCAACACTGTACCCAAACTAATTTTATATCATTTTTTTCACACAAATAGCGCTCTTTTTGGTGGTGGTATTTGATCACCACTGTGTTTCTATTTTTTGCAATATAAATGAAAAATTTTGGAAAAAAATCTTTTCTACTTTCTGCTACAAAACATATCCAATATAAAATAAACAAAAATCAAATTTCTTCATAAATTTAAGCCAAAATGTATTCTGCTACATGTCTTTGGTAAAAAAAAGTCCCAATAAGTGTATATTGATTGGTTTGTGTGAAATTTAGTGTCTACAAACTAGGGTATATATATATTAGAATATGTATGTATTTATTTATTTTAAAATACTAATATTGGTGATCAGCGACCTATTGTGGGACTGCAATAGTGTGGTGGGAAATCTGACACTAACTGACGATGAGGGGAACTGACTAACTGCCACTGACATCACCAGTAACATTAAAAAAGTGATCAGTGATACACTTTCACTGTACTAATGACACTGGCTGGGAAAGGGTTAACACCTAAGACGATCAAGGGTTTAAATATGTGCCTAACTATGTGTAATTTGTGTAGTGTGCTGCTTTTATGAAGAGATTTCATTGTTTCTCATCCCTGCCATGAATCATTGGCTGGGATCTGCTGCCAGATTCCCACTGTTTATAATCACACCGGGTGTCCACTGGGGGGGGGGGGGGGGGGCACACGCCTTACACATGGAAGCAGGCAGAGACACACCAATACATTGCTTTGGCTTCACGAGCTGCTCAACCCCACCATTGTGGGCAGATGGTCCGGAAGGGATTATGTAAAGACAACGTTATCAGCAAATCAACAGAACAACAACTGCAATATAAAAATTGCTCTGGTCCATAAGGGGCATACAGGTGTGAAAGCTGAAATGGTTAAAATGTAAAAAAAACCTTTTCTTCAATAAAAAATGGAGGAAGGCTAGAACGCGTGTCAGATTATTATCACAGCCAGAGATTCATCCCCCATTCTCATGGCAACATAAAACGATAGGGAATCCAAAGGTCAGGAGAAATCTTCCAGTGGGGACACCAATTCAGGTGACAACTAAGAAGGACTTTCCACTCACTTTAGAGAGATATTCACTGACTAGGAATGAGCCGCAAAATCCGGCAAAATTAAATTCACCTTTTGCAAAATTATTCGGAATTTACTCTACGGTAACATTAATTTATTATTAGTAATAAATGTTATAAACATTATTTTATATAGCGCCTTTAAAGGTAGCTTCTCAAAGTGCTTTATTATACAGGATTTATATAGCACCAACAGTTTGCTCAGCGCTTTACAATATAACGGGAGACAATACAGCAACAATACAGTTCAATACAAGAGGGATAGGAGGGCCCTGCTCCTTGGGGCTTACAATCTAGGAGGGAGGGGCTAGTAGTACAAAAGGTAGTAACTGTGGGGGATGGACTGGTTGGAAGAGTAGACGATTCCATTATTAGCTGAGGGCAGGATAGGCTTCCCTGACAAGATAGGTTTTCAGAGATCGCCTAAAAGTGAGCAGAGTAGGCGATAGTCTGATAAATTGGGGTAGAGAGTTCCAGAGGATGGGGGAAGCTCTGGAGAAGCCCTGGAGATGAGCATGGGAGAAGGAGACAAGGGAGCTAGAGAGCAGGAGGTTGTGCGTGCGAGGAGCGGAGAGTGCGGTTTGGGTGGTATTTGGAGACAAGATCGGTGATGTATTTTGGGACAGAGTTATAAATGTATATATGTTATTGTTAATGTTTTGAATTTTATCCGTTGGGCAATGGGAAGCCAGTGGAGAAACTGGCAGAGAGGGGTGGCAGATACAGAGCTTTACAAGAAAAAAAAGAAATATACAGAATAAAGCAATGGAAATAAAGGGTCAATTACATGAAAGCTTGTCTAAAGAAAAAAGTTTTTAGATTTGATTTGAATGAGTTTAGAGAAGATGACCCTTTGATGTTTTTTGGAATTAATTCCAGAGTTTTGGAGCATAGCAGGAGAAGGCTCTGTCTCCCACTGAGTGTAGGTGGGACATACAGAAGACCAGTATTTGAGGAGCAGGGGTAACAAGGGGACAAGGGAGTAGGTTGAGACAACTTAGGTCAGACAGATAACAGGGTTCCAAGACGTGAAGTGCAAGAGGATCTTGAAGTCTATGTGAAACCTGATCAGTAGCTAGTGCAAGAACTCCAGAATAGGGGTAATATGGTTTCTTAAACCAGGCCTAGTGAATATTCTGGCTGCAGAATTTTGTACATATTGTAGCAGATTAAAGCGGTAGTAAACTTTGTTTGAAAAAAAAAATACTTGTCCCCCGCAAGATATAGGCATAATGTGCTAATGTACACATAGTAGCACATTATCACAGATGTACAGGACCTATGAAACAGTTTCTTCTAGCAGCGCCCTGTCATCGCTGAATACATCTCCACCCGATCTTCCTTCGGGGTTCACCAGCTCTGGCCACTTAAATGGCCGAGCCACGATGACTTCACTCCCGCAGGAGTCACGGCTGTGGCACAGCTCTCTCAATATGCGGCGTTCCATCCATTGAGAGCACAGTACGTATGCGCCGGTGACATCACTGGCTGTTTCATATGTAAATATCTCCTAAACAGTACACATTGAGGAGATATTTACGGTCAACACAGATATGCCTTATTATACTCTTACCTGTAGGTACAAAGCAAAAAAGGGAGTTTGCTCCCACTTTAATAATGGATTTAGGTGCACCAGTGAGTAGAGCATTGCAGTAGTCCAGTCAGGAGAACACAAATGTATGGATCAGCTTTTCAACTATGTGTGATAGCATTGGACGCAGCCGAGCAATGTTTCTCAAGTGGAAAAAAAAGATGTTCTGACAACATTTTGTACATGTGGATCAAAGGTTAACCCCTTGACGCCGATCGCATGCAAACATGTGGCCTCTCGGCGTCTGGGCCTTGATGCCGAGTGGCCGAATATATGTGTGCAATTAGAAATGACATATGCGCTGAGAGCGCGCGCCCTGCGCACTCCCAGCACGTATGTCCGTGGCTCCTGGAAAGGTCCCGATCGAAAGGAGAGATCATGGGGATTTCTGATCATGTGACAGCGAATTATAGCGGTCACATGACCCTAAAACCCCGACTTCTGAAACTCTTAATGGTCGGGGAGGTTAAACTAGCATCAAATATCACCCCTAGATTTTTCAATTTAGACTGAATAATTACAATGCATTTTTCAGAAATTATGGCTAAATTTTGAAACCATATTCATCAAAATTTATATTTTTTTTCCTTTAAGCAAAATGTTGGCAAAATGCATTTGAGTCAAAGGAAAGATACACTTCTAAAAAGTTATACCAAGTAAATAAATGTAAGAAATTTTGCCAAATTTCACCGCTAAACCCTTCCTCTGGTTTCATGTTGAGCCTCCTAGACACAAGTGAGGGGAGATCTTCCCTACTGAGGCACAGAAAAGGGTTTTAACAATTTCCTACTCTTTCCAAAATTAGACTTACTTCATTTGGTAAAAGTGAAGTATTTCAAAACATTTTTTTGTAGAAATATTTTTACTTGGTAAATTTTCTCGTGCTTAAAATAGTAAAAAGAGTAGACGTTATTCCTTAACTATGGGGAAGCTTTAATATTGAAGAAGCCACTGTCAGGGTAGAGCTCCTGTGGATTTTATGATGGGTCTCAAATGCAAACGTAATTAAAAGCAACTTGTGTTGCTTTTGGCAATGAATTCCATTCTGATATAATGTTCTGATAAAATATACATTTAAAAAAAATTGGAAACATAATGGTGTTAAGTTGTTTTGGAACCATTTTTACGGGGCTTTTAGATATACATGTATAGGTTGTGCATAAAGTCTTATGTAAAACCCACATGCCAATCATCTGCTGAATTTTACAGCCGTTAGCTGATAGAAGAGCTCGGTTGATCTTTGTCGTGAATAAGGAGTTACTGCGGGGCAAAACATGTCAGAGTAGTGGCAGGTATTACATACAACAGCCTGCATTTTGTGTCTGACGATGAGCCAACCTTCAGCCGCTTAGGCGCAGCCTACAGCCCACTCCATTCCACTGTGCATTTCTGAAGCCGTCTTGTTAACAAGGCACCTGTGGCAGGTAAGGCTAAGAAGGAGGTTTGACAAGTTCAGCTGTCATTCAGCAATTCAGAATCCAAATTCGTACATTTTTTTTAAACTGATATAATTGAGGAAAGATGATCTAAACTTACAACTTAAAGTGGTTGTAAACCTCAGACATGAAATATGTACAAAACATATCCCTCTATAATGTGTATTTATTGCAATTAAGAGCACTAAGTCTCATTTCTGTCTGCTGCTTTGTTCCTCTGCTATCAGCATGAATCACTTCCGACAAGTTTTCCTGACACCAAGAGAAAAATGTTGACAGGGGAGGACCTCCAGCAGATTGACAGCCTCAGCTCTGTTCCTGTGAGCTCTATGAAGGGGGGTGTGTCTCTTCCCTCCAATCAGCAATCAGAGATCTCCTCACTGAGCTTTGCAGTGTGTAACTTCAGCTCTCCACCCCCTTATTCTGAACTCAGACAATCTTTATCATTTCTGGACTTTGAATGGGTGTAGAAGAGGAAAGACAGGTACAACTTATGTAGGAGGATTAGCTTCATCTCTGTGTATCACCTGAGGTCAGTCACTTCACTAGTTATATGTATGGGTTTACAGTCACTTTA